GCGTCATGCATGGTTCTTTTTAATTTGTCAAAGACCCCATTCATTAGTCGGTGAGAATGAATTATGGCTCCGCAGTTTGGCCCGTGAAGATATAACACATCCGTTTTTAATTTCCTCCATTGTGTTAGTAATAACTAATGATTAATGCAACTGTCGTGTGCACACGCACAGGAGAGTCCATCAAACACGGGATAAAGACACATATTCACCGAAAAACCTCAGTTGATGTATAAATATGCACATTGAGTCCTGTCACACTGAGCTGCTTTTATGCCTTTCCAAAAATGACATCAAATCAATTTCTTGGCCGTATGAGAGCATGTCTCTTTGATGCAATATGTCATATGCATTCCCTCTGACTCAGTCCTTCCTATGGTTGGTATTTTTTTTCCTAAGAATAGCCACACCACAGCCCCATCTGGTGACTTGCAGTGCAGCACGCAAATCTAGACCTAACGAATGGTCAATTGCTCAACACACTGACAGACACGAGCTGGTAATCAAGGGATAACGCCTTATTCTCTCAAAGAATGGACAGTCCAACGTCTTATTTAAATATTTATAGTTGTTTTTCAGTTAGACTCGACGCTGCAGCATTCCTGCCTTACACTGTATAGTCAAAAAAACAAAGGCTGGATGCTGATTTAAACTGATATTACACACTACTATAAAACAAACTGAAAACAGTTCAGTGTCCCTTCAGTGAACCATTAAAGAATAGGTACATGTTCAAGCCTGTATTCATATTCACATTGTTTTTCATCTGAACCTGCGATATTTGACGCAATTACCTCAAGCAAGATGAGGTCTGCCAGAATATGCCATAAATGGCATGTTACAATAGATTTAACAGGTCTCAGATTCAACCAGCCACATCCTGCCAAGTTATTCTACCCTGTAGTCTTTTTGTGAACCTCTGTTCAGAAAAGTTGGCACTTGTCGCGTTTAGATTTTTATACATAGCACATCGCTGGTCCCAAATTCTACAAAAGCCCTAAACTCATCAACATTGAGTCAGTCTGGGATTACATGAAGTTACAAAATGTGTTAAATCCACAGGCTGAGGACAGTTTGCTCTGTCTATGACATTCACTGTTACCATTCTCCTTTTCTTTTCCTCCAGTAAAACCCTTCAAGGGACTGTGCATAACATTTCTGTCAATCCATTTTTTTTTTTACCCATTTCAGGGTCATGTTTGGGCTGGAGCCTATCCCAGCTGTCATAGGGCGAGAGGCAGGGTACACCTGCACAGGTCACTAATCTATCACAGGGCTATCACAGAGACAGACAGCCATTCACAGTCACACCTATTGCCAATTTGAACCACCACTTGACCTAATGTGCACATCTTTGGACTCCCGGAGGAAGCTGGAGTATCTGGAAAAAACCCACACAGGCACAGGGAGAACATGCAAACTCCACACAGAAAATCCGAGCAGGCCAGTAGCCTCACTGTGAGCCTGTAGTGCTAATCACCGCACGACCACATAACAATTCTCAGATACTAAATGCACACCAGCAGCTCTCTGACAATGTACTCTGATCGACTCTGTTTATAAGACTCAGTTACCACCTGGGCTGACATCATGAGTGATGTCACCGTTATTGTTGCTGAACCGAAAGACTGTGGTCCTCATGTAATCCCTGCTCAAAGCGTCAAAAATACCTTCTCAGGCTCGTTGACACGGTGCTGGTTTATGTGCTGAATGTTAAACCAGAGCTGAGCTCCAGCTTTGAAGCCGTTGTTAAAAACCTGTGAGGCTTTAATACCTGCAGTCACACGGGCACAATGAATAGTATGATTCATACCTCATAAAAGACGACACCTGTGAGCACATAGCATACTAACCCTGTGATGAGGGAAAAAAATGGGCCATGGAAACATTTCCCAGCTCCTGAATCTAATTGAATCTGTCATAACTGTTCTAATGACAGACATGCATAACCCCAGAGTTCCCTGCAGGACAGGGCTTGGCACTAAGAGTGTTGCAGACAACATGCCCTACAGGTGTGGGAAGATGATGTATATAGACTCAGGTTACGGCAGATTGGCCTGGGACAGGCTGATGGAGGCTCTGATTGATCCTGAAAACAGAGAAGCCTGTGGGAGAATTGTCTCTGAACCTGGAGGAGAAGTTTAAAAGTCTAAGAACTATCAGGGTACGGTGAAGGTTGACATCCTAGAAGTCAAAATTACACTGGATGTGCAGAAACACCACAGCTGATAATCTGGGTTAATGGAGGCGCTCTTTTATGTGTTTCAGAGTGTTTAAAGCAAATCAAAGAAAGTATCAAATGCAGTATTTAGGTGTGACGCAATTAAACATTCGGAAGGAAATACATCTCGGCGGGTTCAACATGACATGACAGTGAGTTCAAATGCTCAAATGGCCTCCACAGTCAGCTGATCTCAGTCCAATAGAGCCTCTTTAGGATGTGGTGAGACAGGAGATTCTCATCATAGATGTGCAGCCAACAAATCTGCAGCAGCTGTGTGATGCTAACATGTCAATATGGGCCAAAATCTCTGAGGATGTTTCCTGCACCTTGTTGAGTCTGTGCCGTGAAGAATTAAAGCACTTCTAAAGGCAAAAGCAGGTAGCTACAGTATGTACTGAACTGGCCGGTAAGTGTAGCCATGTTCCTAAAGAACAGCTGGGTAGTGAAACCTGTATTTCAAACTCCCGCAGTGACAAATCTGATGTTACTTTCAGCTGCTCCCTTATTCACAGGGGGCGCCACAGTGGGTAGCTCCACATGTTTGATTTGGCAGATATATATATTTTTTTTAATTCCGGATGCTTTTCCTGATGCAACCCCAAAGGGATTTGTCTCTTCTCCTGGGATTGTAGGAGGACTTTTCACTCATTGGGTAAATGTGTAAACTGCTACACTATGGAACTGATCCCGTGCTAATCAAACAGGTTTTTTTCAAACTGAATTCTTCTGAGGATAACAATCATTTTCAACCCATAAGCTTCTCTAAATTTTAATAATTCCTTACATATATTAAAACTTTAATACTTAAATGAACCATACGTTTTTTTTGTTTTTGTTTTTTGTAAAACTCATGGTCTTTCATACAATTTACATCTACACTATAATGTAAGGAATGTTTTCTTAACTTTACCTGTACCTTACTGTTATTATTGTAATTTTAGATTTTACTATATAACCCACTGGGAACAAAAGTATTGCCACTAATTATTGTGGGGGAAAAAAAATCAACTTTTATATCAACATTTTGAAGTACTTGTTTTTAAGTATTTTGAGTGGGTATCAAACATCTGGTGTACAAGATTATGAAGAGACACTTTTTCAACATTAACATAAAAACATATATGTGATTATACATAAATCACATCTGCACTGAGAATACTATTTGAACTTTAATGCATTTATAAAAAGATGAATACTGATATAAACTGTCAGAAATTACCAATAACAAGTTTTTTTTTTTTAAGGAGGACTTGTTTTTATTATGAAATAGCTTTCTTATTTACTGTTTTCTGAAAAATATGAAGTTTCTCAAAAAGGAGAATACAAGGTGCTGTTTTCAAGTTTCTGCAGTCCTTTTATTTTTTACAGCAAATGATTAAAAAAGAATAATAAATTGCAAAAATATAATGATCTAATGCTCATTTTAGTTTAGTTTTTTTTTTTTACATCATTGCACCTCTCATTTTAATACTATAAATTACTTTATAGTCTGGTGAAAGACATAGTGACACTGTGTGATGAATATGTTTTTTATATCATGGCTAAAATACAGTAAAATAGATTATAGTTGTCCTGATTTTGCTCAAACGGTGTCACGAAACTGTGTGTTGTACTTCGGCTCTTCTAAAATGCTGGGCAAGGCAGCAAGAATTGATCAGAAATACAGAATCGGTGGCACAGCACTGCCATCTGCTGATGCGCAAAGATTTTAAAAACGATTGAAGCACCTTCTCTTCACGAGTCTTTATCTCATCTGCCTCCGTTAAGTCTCTTTTCCCACTAATGGTCTTGTCTGTCTACTGTAAATCTCATCGTAACAATGTCCTCGATGCCAGCCTGGAGCTCATCGTGCTGCTGCACGGCGGAGACTCCTTTAGGGGTCCCGGTCAGGATGAGATCCCCTTCCTCCAAGGTGATGAAGTCGCTGATGTAGCTGATGAGATACGGGACGGAGAAGATCATCTGAGAGGTGCAGCCGCTCTGTCGAAGCTGATCATTTACTTTCAGCCACAGGTTGACCTTCCCCGGGTCAGGGATGCGCTCTTTGGGGATGAACTCGCTGATAGGACAGGAGGTGTTGAAAGCCTTGGCCATGGTCCAGGGCAGACCTTTGGACTTGCACTCGTCCTGGATGTCTCGGGCTGTCATGTCCAAGCACAGAGCATAACCCGCAACATGCTCCATAGCGGCGGACTGCGGGATGGCCGTGCCCCCTTTCCCGATCACCACCCCCAGCTCCACTTCATGGTGCAGATTAGTGGTGTAAAGGGGCACCAAGATAGGCGAGCCCTCTCTCACATATGCAGTAGGAGGCTTCAGGAACAAGACAGGCTCCTTAGGAATCGCGTTTTTCAGCTCTTTGGCGTGATCCGCATAGTTTCTCCCAACGCAAATGATCTTCCTCCCCCATTCCCAGAACCGAGAAATATTCCGTGCTGTCATCGTGGAGAACCGTGAGCGGTTTCGGCTGCCTTAAAGCAGTCAGCACGAGTGTAACTAAACTTTGACCGACACCGTTTGACCGCTCCGGAACATCAACCTACGGCAAGCCTGAAGGGACATGCGCAGAGCACAAAAGTCGAATCGATACTATCTTATTTGAGATAATTACCGGGACTAAAATGTAAAACAAAACCACTTACTAACTTTATTAAACTACTCTTGTGCAGAATTACGTAAACAAGTTAGACAGTCACGTGTAACTTGTTTACGTAAATAAATACGTAGATAGATCATTCCCGATCTATCTACCCGAGACTTGATTGGCGGAGCCTTGGAGGGCAAAGGTCAAAGGGAGCGGAGGCGGAACTGAACCAAAACCAAACTTTTCTGGTTTGCACAAATGTGATAAGACTTTAGCTACTGTTGTTATGTTATTCAAGTCACTAGTAGGGAGTGCCTGCACTCTATTAGGAGCTGCGACAGCCTTAAAATTCGGTACGTCCACACGGTTTTCTCTCATTTTCAGCCCGCGAAGGTTTAGCGTAGTTTTCGCTTGCTTCGCTGCCGTTAGGTGGGTAGGTAGGTGGCGTTTGTTCGTTTGTTTATGTTCTGTCGTCTTAAGTTGGGGGGGGGAGCTGTCACATGAGCACAGCCGGCCTGTCTGAGCTCATACCTGTTTCCTCTTATATAACCTCCTCTATGACAGTCACATCAGTGTAATTAATTAGCGTGCCCACAAAAAATCCAACACCGAAGCGTGTTAACGTGTGGCGTTCACTTGTCCAGCGGGGCGGTGAGGTGTCTTACGTTTCTCGCGTTTGTGGCATTAAACGAATGTAAGGCAAGGAATATGTGAATATATTACAGAGGTACAGGGAACTAGAAGTTAAACTGTCCCGATTTCTGTCTGATGTGGCTCGGTTTTAAATATTGACTTTTATCCCCTCATGAAGCTCCGGTGGAAGTCAAGGCCCAGGCAGCCGCCCTCCTTCATAGTGTGGTAAGGAAATCTAATCTGGTGGAGCAAGCAAACATGAGGATTGAACTGCTCCCTGCGCTGTCTGACAACTACATGTACCTACTGATCGATGTGGACTCCAGAGAAGCAGCTGTTGTAGACCCCGTGGAGCCAATAAAGGTCTGTTCAGTCACTGTATCATATTAAGTAATGTTAAACCAGTTGACAACACTTTAACACCAATGCAGAAAGTCTACCTACAAGTGATTGTGTTAACCTTTACACACTATTCAAGTCAAAATTGTGTCCTTTTAAAAATATTTGATAGCAACATAGTTTTCTTTTTGTTTTGTCTTTTATTTATTTTTTTATTTTGAGCCTGAAAGTATTAATATTATTATTGTTGTTGTTGTTGTTGTTACTATTATCATTATTATTATAATTATTACATGATATGGTAGTAGTAGTAGTAGTTGCTCCATTTAAATGAGAGAAAGTGTGTGAAATAGTTTAGACACTTTTTTGTTTAGTTTTTGTGTTTCTGACTAACTTTATGTCTATACCTAAAATGATCCAAAATCTTATACTGTTGTACAGGTGCTACAATCTTTTGTAAACTGAGGCTGTTTGTGATGAAATGTGATTTTTAGATCTACCAGTGTGGGTCAAATAAAAAAAAAAAAAGTGGTTTTAGGGAATCTTGTGTGCAAGTCATGCCTATGTGGGTTTTTTTCCTTCTTTATTTTTTATTGGACAGATGTGACAGACGTCAAGGGGGACCTTGACACTGTCACGTAGACAGTCTGCGTCCTCACTATATTTGCCCAGGTTCCCACAGAGACCGGTACCAGCTGGTCTTTGAGGTGGAGGGATCTCCAAACAGTGCACCAGAGGTTATATAGATGTCAGTGTGTGCCTTTAGGGATGGTGCCTTGACACAGACATGAGATTTGAAGTGACTCAGCATGATGGTGCAATGGTTAGAAGTATTAGGATTGTTGCCTTTCAGCAAGATTATAAAGATACCTGAACTGTTATTTAGGTGAGTGTGGGAAACACTTGCGCAAGTTCCACACATGCAAGGTGTCCTACCACTGCCCTGAATACACACATTAGTTTGCAATGAACAAGTTATTGAATTATTATAGATATTGTTATAGGCTGCAGTTACAAGGATTTTTTTATGACATATCAAGGGGCAGTGTTTAACAGTTGTAATAGTTTTGCATTGTTATATAATAAATCCCAAAAGTTGAGGTCACTTCCATTTTGACTTTGAGTAGAATATAATTAAATCATAATTTCTCTCTTGCTTTCAAGTATTAGATTTTTTTTTTCACTAAAAATGAATCTTGTAAATCTCAAAAATACACTATCTGGTCTCTGAAACATTAATTATGCATTAATCATCCAACTTTTTTTTTAGATATGCTATTTATGCATATTCTATTTATATAATCTGTAGTTCAAAATGTTGTATCAACATTTATACCAGTTCTTAGCATGGGTCAAAACTGACCCCAACCATATTCTGAAGGCTTGAAATGCAAATAGTTTATAAGGGTTAAAATAGTCATTCATCAGTAAGAATACATATAGTGTTCAGCATCATAACTCTGAGAAAATCCACTCTGCATTTTGCTGGTGATATTGTGGACTTAAGAAAAATACATTATTGTTATTATTATTATTATTGTTGTTGTTGTTGGGTGTAGGTCAAAACATAACCCTAGACTATTGAAAACACTACGTAATTCTATCCAAGCGTGATTGATTTCTTCTTATTTATGTATTTATTTATTTATTTTACTATTTTTATTTCATTATTTTTGTATGGGAGGTGCCTACTTTCAGGACAGTTTGCAGAAAGGTGCAGAGTACCTTATATCAGTTTGAGGTTAGTGTGTATGTGAGAAAAGGTTAAGTATGTACTGGATAGAATACTGTAACTGTTGCAGGAAAATGCATCCAATCTTTTTATTCAGAGAATACTGAGAATGAAATTTGATATGATGTGCATTTTTATCTGCCCGACCTTTGTTTGGGCATTATAATGATATGTAGTGAAGGACAGACACGACTTTCCAAGTACGCAGTAGTCCTTAGTTTGGAAGAAGACCAATCTCCTTTCAACTATATACAGAATCTGCCTAGTTTGAAAGTCTACTATCAAGTCAAAGGTATTTGTAATATTAGAAAATATCAAGAATTTGGTCATTACTACATTTAAAACTAGCGTGTGAGTAAGAAGTGCCAATTTGATGTTTTCAGCAA